GAACATAGTCCTGTGAACTGAAAGCATACAGAAGAAGAAATTGGGACTGAAAATCAGGAGGCCCTTCATCAGAACCAGGCTTTTTGGAGGAAGCAGAGATTGGGATTGAGTTTGAGTGATGAAAGTAAAAAAATCCCTCTCTGGGGTATCTACCCCAAAAATCTGAAAACGTTTACCTGTAAAGATATATGTGCTCCGATGTTCATTGCAGCTTTATTTACAGTGGACAAGACATAAAAACAACCAAAGTGTGCTTCGATAGATGACTGGATAAAGATGTGGTATATATACACAATGGAATACTATTCTGTCACAAGAGAAAATGAAATAGTGCCATTTGCAACAACATGGATTGATCTTGAGATTATTATGCTAAGCGAAATAAGTCATACAGAAAAAGGCCGAGAACCATATGATTTCACTGATATGTGGGATATAAAACTGAAAACAACAAAAGAACAAGACAAACAAACAAACAAAAACTCATAGACATAGACAATAGTTTAGTGGTTACCAGAGGATAAAGGGGGAGAGGAGGGTGGTAGAAGAGGGTAAAGGGGGTCAAATATATGGTGATGGAAGGAGAACTGACACTGGGTGGTAAACACACAATGTGATATACAGATGATGTATCACAGAATTGTACACCTGAAATCTATGTAACTTTACTAACCATTGTCACCCCCAATAAAATTGAATTTAAAAAAAGAAAGTAAAATAAAATATTTTATTACTAATATTAATAAATACAAACATTATCATAAGGCTAAATCAAGGTCATGACATTAGTGTGCCATAATATGAACATTGTGGGCACCTCAACTCTGGGCACCAGAGGTCCCAAAGGAAAATAAAGGACAAGTTCATTTTCCATAACAATTATCAAGTTAAAATCAAATTACACTCTGTTACCTTTCACTGCAGCAAAAGTACATTTACATGAGTATCCTCTCTGGAAAACTCATTTCCTTTCTCAATAAGTAAGGTTCTAGGGTTTTTTGTTCTTGTTTCTGTTTGTTTGTTTATTAAAGTTTATTGGGGTGGCAATGGCTAGTAAAGTTACGTAGGTTTCAAGTGTGCAGTTCTGTAATGCATACATCACATTGTGTGTTCACCGCCCAGAGTCACTTTTATCATTATAATGTCATGGTTATAGTCATGAAAAGTGATCATTTATCCACTCAACAAAATAGATGGACAGTACCTATTCTCCACTAAGAACGTGCTTGAAGCCCACAAGAACTTGTGAATGAACTTATTGTATTCTTGTGGAGGGCTGCACATGAATATATGAATACATGGGTATATATGTAAGTCCTTGATGTTCAGAGAAATGACCCACTGCCAACAGATCTCAAATACAAGACAGCACCTCATAAGGCTGGGCTCCCAAAGGTTTTTTTTCTCCTGCTGAGACACAACCATTTTCTATGCTAACTATATGCCTATCTGACCCAGGAGGGCTTTAAAAGCTTGTTAGTCTTGATTTCTACCTCCCTGTCAAGGGAGTAAGGATGACAGGGTCCCTGAGGTCACTGAGGTTATATCAGTCTCAGCTGTATTGGTCAAAACTCCAACATCAGTGGAGCCAGAACCCATGCTACTTCTTCTGAAAGTGAGTCTGAGAAGAGAACCTGGAGAGGGACCTGAGGGGTGTGGACACCAAGATTTGCCAGAAGACACATGTCTTCAGTCCAGATGTGCATCCCTAACCTTTCCTGAGTCAAAGGTACTTGAGTAGTCTGAACAGAGTAGTAGACACTGTGTCCTGTGTGACACAAGGACCCTTCTTAACTGCCTTGGCCACATCTGAGGGCTTTATGTACTAGGGATGTACCTAAGCTGGAACTTGTCTATGGAAACTTAACTAAGGTCTTGGGATAGCTAAAACGTAACACCCAGTAGAAGGAACTGGGTTTTTTAGTCTGAAGTCCGGAAATCCTACAAGAGAAAATATGTATATAAATACTTTATTTGTCGAGTGGGGCAAGGGGGTGGGGAATAAACTCACTCTATGTAGTGACAGCAGAAAACAAAGATGTGTATGAGGGCAAGAAGGAGAATAACATATCTCAGTCCAAATAAAGAATGTCTAAAAGCTGAAATGCTAATGCTGGAAAGGTCTGCCAGAAAAAAAGTAATTTACTTTCTGCCTCTGGATCCAATCCATAACTTTGAAGGATAGACTAGCGGGAATATTTCACAAGCTTATCCAAATACCATAAGAGCTAGGTGATCCTCTTCATCCCCTCCAAATTTCAAAGTCTGTGCTTCCAGGGTGCTGTGACATAGTTGCATCCTGGAGCCTACAAACTGAGCTTGAGTTAGTTGCCTGCATTGGTCTCCAGTTTCAACTGGCTTCCTCAGACTGACCCTGATAGAGGAAACAAATAATTAGCTTTGAGGTCTCAGTCCAATTCTTGCCATAGACTCTCTGGTATTGCAGAGGAAGATTGGAAAAAGAAGAGTAAAAACCATATACATATCCAAGTACTTCTGCCCTGGAGTTGAGTAGACAGTCTTTGCTTGATGAGTAAATCATTGGTTAAAGAAAAAAGAGACAGAAAGAGAAAAAAATCAAGAGGGAATAAAAGAATAGAAAATGAGATGAAAAATTCTTCCTTTGACTCTCCAGAAATTTTATCCTAGTGCTGGAAATAATCTATCCGAGACTACTCAGGAAATAAAAAATATATATTCTACTTCTTCTAGGTTCCCTTATGAATGGGCCTTTCCTGCAGCAAAGGTGCTTCCATGGGTCTGCATCCTCCAAAAATCAGGCAGGAATCCTTAACCCAGCTTAACTATGGTGAGATTTGGGGCTGTGCTAAGAATTAACGCGCAATAAATAATGTTATTACATAAGGTGTGAGCAGAGCAAGAGCAAAAATGCAAAATGTTGTACAAAATGACATGTCCTGATAGAAGGAAATAGTGTCAATTTGACACTGAAATTTGCATGCACCGTGACAAAATTAACTGGTATAACAGTAACTCTGACTTGCATCCTGTGTCTCATTGACACAAATGATACAACTTTAAAACTGCTTTGAAATTTACCAAGGCATTATTAATAAATGCTATTCTTTTTTATTAAGTTTATTGGGGTAACATTGTTTAATAAAATGATATAGGTTTCAAGTGTACAATTCTATAATATGTCATGTATCTATTGCATTGTGTGTTCACCACCCAAAGTCAAATCTCCTTCCATCACCATATTTGACCCCTTTTAACCTCTTCTAATATATGCTATTCATCTTAATAATGAAAAAAGAACTGGAGGTAATGTAAACTGCTGATGTATCTTGAAATAACTTTTGTCTCCAGGAAGAGGGACAGTTCTTGGCAGACACTAATTAGACAGTACTCCCTTGATTTTAGAGCAAAGCATCAGAAGGGGTGAAGAGAGGAGTTGGGGAAGGGGGAAGATAATTAATGTTCTCTTTCGCTGACTGAGCAACTCCTAAGGTCATTGGGTAAGAAGGTTGAAGTCTAAGAAAAAAAAAGTGAAACAGGACTCGAAGTGTCGGACCAAGGACATACATAGATAGAAACAAATGTGTCATTTTAACAGTTATATCAGATTAGATTCTGATGGAAAAGTATTTTCAGTTCTGGGTTCATATTTCTACTAAAAATCCTCTTCTTTCTACTCAGCCCCATTCCAAAAATACCTCTCTACTGTTGTATTCAACTTTCAATAATTGTTGTTACCCTAGGGAGATAGATTTGTTCAGAGACTGAGGAACCAAATATAATATCATCTCATTATAGGGCTCAGAAGAATCCTGAGTGACTGTCAAACCAATGCTCTTTAGCTTATTAGATGTAGTACAACATAGGTAACTAAGATCTGGGTTTAAATCAAACAGAATTTTGCATCTAGATTTAAAGTTTTACTGTCTGTGTGATCTTGGGAATTTTCTCAGCCTTTCCTCACCCCCTTTCCCTCATTTGTAAAGTCATATCAGACACACTTCCCAGGTCATTTATTGAGTAAGGTAATGCTCCTAATATATTTTAACATGGTGCATGATAAGCATTGTAAGTCCATTCAACACACTGCAAACATTTTCCATTTTACCAGCTATGTAAACAGATGCAAAACAGTGAAGCATAAATACCAGTGAAACAAAGTAATCTACACTTGTGGGATGCCACCTGAGCAGAACATCGGTACAAAGTACACAGATTTCAGGACCACACACAGCATGACTTTAAAGCCTCCTGACACACTGATCTTGAATATTTTGCGAGCATCTGTCACTGCAACAAGCAACTCATTTTTCACAACCTTCTATGGACTTGCCTTTAAAATTCAGCAGGAGGAGAATCCTGGGAACCAATTTACTTTCATGTGAACGATGTGACTCCTCACCTACACTCTCAAAATATTCTGCATGTTGCTCTGTCATTATTCTTATCATTCTGTCTAATAATTGTCTTATAAATGACAATGCCCAGGGCATTGTCACTTCCTTGAGAACACGGGTAACACTTAATCTTTGTGTTCCTTGTGTATAAAGAGTAAGTAAAAGATAAATAAGAAGAAAGGAGTGACAACACTGAACTGTACCTGGTGTGGATGTTGGGGACATTATCTGGGCAACTGAGCAAAGAGATTTGAGAGGAACCACTGAAGACCAGTTTCACCAACTCCACACTGCTGAAATAACAGGGCTTATTTTATCACAGTCCTTAATTGCAAGGACACTGCCTCATAAGTAATTAGTTCATAGCTCATTCTACTTTATAAGATTTTTTTCATTCAAAAATTAGAAATATTACAGAAATGTGATGCAAAATTTGTAAAAGATTAAAATGAATTTATTTTCCATATGTAACATGCAAATTTTCCATTTAAAGCAATAAACCTGCTAGAAACCATAAGTTACACCCAATGAAGCCAAATTTTTTCTCATTGTCAGTACAAAGGCTAATTTTGATCCTAACTTTTTAGGTCATAAAAGGAAATCTGTAGAAACAAAATCCACAAGATGACACCTCACAGAAATGGCTCCACTGGGGTTTCAGACTTCCTTCTGAATTGTTTTGTCAGGTCACCCAGATGGCAGCACTGGCTGTCCCTGCCCCTCAGCCTCCTCTTCCTCCTGGCCATGGGAGCCAACGCTATTCTCCTGATCACCATCCGGCTGGAGGCATCTCTGCACCAGCCCATGTACTACATGCTCAGCCTTCTGTCCCTGCTGGACATGGTGCTCTGTCTGACTGTCATTCCCAAGGTCTTGGCAATCTTCTGGTTTGACCTCAAGTCTATTAGCTTCTCTGCCTGCTTCCTTCAGATGTACATCATGAATTCCTTCCTTGCCATGGAGTCCTGCACATTCATGGTCATGGCCTACGACCGCTATGTGGCCATCTGCCATCCACTGAGGTACCCATCCATCATCACTGACCAGTTTGTAGCCAAGGCTGCCATTTTTATTTTGGCCAGGAGTATCCTCATTACAGTGCCCATCCCTATTCTCTCAGCACGACTCCATTATTGTGAGAGAACTGTCATTGAGAATTGCATCTGCGCCAATATGTCTGTCTCCAGGCTCTCCTGTGATGATGTCACCATCAATCGTCTCTACCAATTTGCTGGAGGCTGGACTCTACTGGGATCTGACCTCATCCTCATCTTCCTCTCCTATACCTTCATACTTCGAGCTGTGCTGAGACTCAAGGCAGAGGGTGCTGTGGCCAAGGCCCTAAGCACATGTGGCTCCCACTTCATTCTTATCCTTTTCTTCAGCACCATCCTTCTGGTCTTTGTCCTCACTCATGTAGCTAAGAAGAAGGTCTCCCCTGATGTGCCAGTCCTGCTCAATGTCCTCCACCACGTCATCCCTGCAGCCCTCAACCCCATTGTTTATGGAGTGCGAACCCAGGAGATCAAGCAAGGAATCCAGAGGTTATTGAAGAAAGGATGGAAATAAGGACAACTGGATCTCTGAATTCCTAAAATAGGATGACTTATAAAATCAGTTAGTAAGAAATTGGGTTGAAACCCATAGGTCATAATTCAAGGTGAAAAGTAAGTTTAGTTCTGAAACAATTTTTTTACTCTCCTCCCTCTTCTTCAAGCTCCAATGTTTCCCTCAAAAGTTTGTCATTTCTGTGACTTAAAAAAAATTTTTTTTCAATCTTCCTGATTCTATTTTGTCTAAAATGTGTCAACTCAGGAAGATGAAATCTATAGTGGAGAAATGAATCCTAGTTAATATTATATTTACTATTTCTGTACATGTAATTTTAAAAATAACTATGTATGTAAATGTCCTTGCTTGCAACTTATTATTAATATTACTGTTGCTATTAACCCAGTTGCATAATGCAGTTATAAAAAGACCACCACATTTTAAATGTCAGCCCTGAATGATGAAAAGTTGCTAGAGNGTAGGCTGAGGGGCAGGGACAACCAGTGCTGCCAACTCTGGTAGTTAGGGAAGCAGATGAGGAGGAATTCAGAGACTGGAGCAGTGGAGTAGTTGCTGGGTGAGGCCATGTAAAGTATCCTGTGCAAGCTAGAAATTACAATCCCTTAATATGTAGAACAGAATATATCACCATCAAATGTATATTTTCTTCTAGATGTAATACAGTTCAAGTTTTCATTGGGGCTCTTAACCTGCCCCAACGAAGTTTTTAAATCATTATCATCATCAATTATCGGTAACATTTAACTGAACAAGTATCATGTACTAGGCATGATGCTGTATGCTTATATTCACAATCTCACTTTATCCTTTTAAAAAACACTTCAAAGTAATTAATACTGTTATCTTAATTTCACAAATGATGAAAGGATACAGGTAAAGGTGAGCAGCATAGTTTGATCAAAATCAGACAGCCAGTAAGTGACGGAGCCAGGACTGAGAACCAGGGAATCTGACTCTAGCGTCCATGCTTTCAGCCACTACACAATATTTAGCCTCAACCAGTACAATGACTTAACTAATCCCCTTCTTCCTTCAGTTTAGAAGGGATAGCTCTATGGAGAGCTCTGTTTAGTGGACTCCATGGAGGTCCCACAATGTCCGGCCCTCTACTCCATACAATTGGACAGGGCCTAACTTCAGAATTCTTTATTTCAGGAAATAATTGGATTAGAGGTAGAACAGTTCTTGCCCCACCCAAAGGCAGTGATTTCTTTCAACCCCAAAGAAGTTTTCCCTTTAAAGGCATAGTGTCTATCATTCTCTTACTGTATTATTTGCTATTGTTTCTCTTCATGAAGGTTCAGGAGTATCTTCTTTGTTTTGGGTCCTTTAGAATGGAATGTGAATTTCCTCTTCTGGTGACAGATACAGTACTGAGAGATACACCAGAGATTCACCAAAAGCAGAATAGAAGCTAGCTAGTGAGTGAGAGTTAGGCATATAAACCTATATAAGAATCCAACTGTTATCTGTCACCGTGTACCAAAATTAACTCAAAATGGATCAAAGACCTAAATATAAGACCTGAAACAATAAACTGCATAGAAGAAAACATAGGTACTAAATTTATGGACCTTGGGTTCAAAGAGGATTTTATGAATTAGGCCTCAAAAGCAAGGGAAGTAGAAGCTAAAATAAATGAATGGGACTATACCAAACTAAAAAGCTTCTGTACAGCAAAAGAAGCCATTAACAAAATTAAAAGGCAACCAACTGAATGGGAGAAGATATTTGCAAACAATGCTTCTGATAAGGGGCTAATATCCAAAATATATAAGGAACTCATACAATTCAATAACAAAAAAACAAACAATCCAATTAAAAATGGACAGAGGACCTGAATAGACATTTCTCCAATGATGACATACAGATGGCTAGTAGATATATGAAAAGATGCTCAACATCACTAATTATCAGAGAAATGTAAATAAAAACCACAATGAGATATCACTTCACACCAGTTAGAATGGCTATCATCAACAAGACAAATAATAGCAAGTGTTGGAGAGGCTGTGGAGAAAAAGGAACTCTCATACACTGTTGGTGGGAATGCAGATTGGTGCAGCCGCTATGGAAGGCAGTGTGGAGGTTCCTCAATAAATTAAGAATAGAATTACCATATGACCCAGCAATCCCTCTCCTAGGTATATACCCAAAAAATCTGAAAACATTTATCCGTAAAAATATATGTACTCCGATGTTCATTGCAGCTTTATTTACAGTGGCTAAGACATGGAAATAACCAAAGTGTCCTCTGATAGATGATTGGATAAAGAAGATGTAGTATATATACACAATAGAATACTATTCTGCCATAAGAAAAGAATAATAGTGCCATCTGTCACAACATGGATGGACCTTGAGATTATTATGCTAAGCAAAATAAGTCAGACAGTAGAAGTCAAGAACCATATGATTTCACTGATATGTGGGATAGAAAACTGAAAGCAACAAGACAAACAAATAAACAAAAACTCATAGACAATAGTTTAGTGGTTATCAGAGGGTAAAGACGGAGGGAAGTGGTAGATGGAAAAAAAGTTCATTTACTTGGTGAGCTAAATTGTCTACGATTCCTTGTGGCCAGGATCCAATTTTCCTAGCATATAGAATCTACATCTGTGAACTCATCAGCTTTAATTCCAGTTGTATCTCTAGTTGGGTGCTNAGACTCAAGGCAGAGGGTGCTGTGGCCAAGGCCCTAAGCACATGTGGCTCCCACTTCATTCTTATCCTTTTCTTCAGCACCATCCTTCTGGTCTTTGTCCTCACTCATGTAGCTAAGAAGAAGGTCTCCCCTGATGTGCCAGTCCTGCTCAATGTCCTCCACCACGTCATCCCTGCAGCCCTCAACCCCATTGTTTATGGAGTGCGAACCCAGGAGATCAAGCAAGGAATCCAGAGGTTATTGAAGAAAGGATGGAAATAAGGACAACTGGATCTCTGAATTCCTAAAATAGGATGACTTATAAAATCAGTTAGTAAGAAATTGGGTTGAAACCCATAGGTCATAATTCAAGGTGAAAAGTAAGTTTAGTTCTGAAACAATTTTTTTACTCTCCTCCCTCTTCTTCAAGCTCCAATGTTTCCCTCAAAAGTTTGTCATTTCTGTGACTTAAAAAAAATTTTTTTTCAATCTTCCTGATTCTATTTTGTCTAAAATGTGTCAACTCAGGAAGATGAAATCTATAGTGGAGAAATGAATCCTAGTTAATATTATATTTACTATTTCTGTACATGTAATTTTAAAAATAACTATGTATGTAAATGTCCTTGCTTGCAACTTATTATTAATATTACTGTTGCTATTAACCCAGTTGCATAATGCAGTTATAAAAAGACCACCACATTTTAAATGTCAGCCCTGAATGATGAAAAGTTGCTAGAGCCCATAACTAAATCTCTTTCACTTACCTCCAACCAGGCCAATAACTGTTTTCTTCTAATCTTGATCAAGCAAAGCCAATGTCTTTCAAGTGCAACCCTTGAAAGGGTAGAGCTCTTGCAAGAATTGCTCACATGTGGACAAATGAGATTTACTAAGTTTAGGGGAAGGAATTATCATATAAAGCCTCTTCCTCGATGTCTTGACACTACTGTCTGTGCTTGAAGCTTCACCTTCAAGATTCATGATGGCTCAGTTTGCGATGTGTATGTAGGGCTCTGCTTTGGTGTACTCATATGTCACACTATCAGAAAACGTTCCAGTAATGACACTGAAATATGCTGGGGTGTATTATTAATTAAAGAAAGACTTTCCAAGCAACTACTCTGGTGCAAGGGCTTTGTTAGAGCTCAAGGGTATGAAGATGTGCAGAACAAATTTTCAATCATTGAGGAAGTCATATGCTGTTTAAACAGAATATAAAGCAATCTAAACCCTATAATGTTGAAGGAATTTTTTTTTACATAGAAGGAAGTAGAAAGAAATGGGGTACAAATAAATACAGGAAATGACTTGAAAAAGAAAAAAGGCTGAGATGGGGAGTTAGAAGTTCTGCACTCTAGGCCTTGCACAACCACAAATAAGGTGTGATGGGGAGCAAATCAGCAGCCTCACTGAGTTTCAGAGTCCTCCTCTGTTACATGAAGATAGTCAACTAGTTATTTTAATGCGTATTTCCAGTTCTAAGAGTCTATAAAACCATGCCCTGCCTTAAGACAGGCATCACTCATGTTGAGTCTCCTTTTGTATTTCTTCCCTTTAAGCCCATGCATAGACACTTCCCACATTCCTTCATGACGGCTGAAACTAATGGAAAATTTTAACATTGTATCAGTGTTAATTTCCAAATACTACAATTTATGATTTTGTTCACAGCATGCCTGAAATACAAGCATGCCTGAAAGATCATTTACACACTCACATCATTACACGTCTCAGTCTGCATTCTCCTGTGCAGAAAAAGCTATGGTCCCTCCTAATGGGAGGGCTCCATGTATGTTTACCACTTGGTGCAGTAGCTGGGAGGCCCCGATAGACAAAGCATTTCTCTCTAAAAATACTGAGTTGTACTATTTGAGTCTTCATCTTGTGTTCAAGACTGACATGTTCCCAGGATTACTGATCAGAGAAATATCAATGTCATTCAGGTATTGGGTATACTTGATCCAAAATTATGGGTACCTGCCTTCTGACTCCAAAATGAAAATGTCTCATAGACTACTACCAGTACACTTCCCAAAGTCTGGGACATTTGGCTTGAGATAGAATAACAGATGAATCACTGATCTATTTAAGGTATAGTCTTCCACACTTTGTCAATTTCATTAATTCTCCATCCAGTAATGAAAAGAAATCAACTTTGAACTTCTTCCTATAGTCTTTGGTTTCACAACTGTTGGACTCTTACTAGCATCTTCTTGAAAATGAAAATGCATTTACATCATTCTAATAATAAACAAAAATTTCAAGTAATATTAGGTATAAATTCCATTTACATGATACACTATTATATAGACCAGTATAGCCAGCTAAAATATCACCCTTGCAAATA